TTGTATATTAAGAGCATTTTTTCCACTCTCCTTTCTTACAAAGAAAATGGGCCGATCTTTCCTTTGACAATAATCAACATTTTAAAAGTACTAAGTAAACTCTCTGATAAGCCTTTGTCTACTGGGCTTGGGTTGATGCCTGTAAATATATTCCATGCTTGATTTAAGGTAATGTTCTACAAATGTAAACCATTATTCAGTTTGTACTAAACTCCTGCTTGATAGATTAGCCAAGGAAGAATTACAATTCAGGGCTGTCCTTTCCATGTAATGCACAGATTAGTGAACCAAATCAAAAGCTCTGTGTAACCTAATCAAGACATTTGATTTTAAATGTCTTGTTCACAGAGATACTTTTAAAACAGGATGCTGCCTATTTTGAAAAGACATTGTACCATCATTTTGAATAATAGCAGGGGAATGACTCCCGCTCGAGTTAAACTTGACATTTTTTTAAACACAATAATCAAGTCCTCCTCACTCTATGCTGCTTAAGTGGCAGCATCAATTTTTAAAGACCCTACTTTAGTTTACATTAGTAACAGTGTGTAAAAAATTAATGTTCTGTGCCCATTCTGAGGTCCAAATTGATGCCCATTGTGTGTTGTGGGTTTTTTTTTTAATTATAGGGTCTGTTTTCTTTTTCCTTGTTAGCTACAGGTAAATACGCTTTTGATCTTTTGATTTGAATTTGTCATATAAAATCACTCAGATATTCATGCCGTATACAGACAAGTGCATCCGAAACCCCCTGCATCTTCTAGTCAGACAGTGACAGATGTATCCTTAGCAGGAAAGTTGTCTAAATATTGATGTGGATGCAACAATCTGTCATATCAATTGAAAGTTTAAAATCTCAGCTCCCCTCCTCCCCCCCAATAAATTAGTGTATTTTGTTAGAGCTTTATTTATTGAACTATTTATGTTTGAAAAGTTTTAGCAATAGGGTTTTTATGCATTTGAGGCATGGCAGCGTAAGGGCAACTGTCCATATGGGCGAGGGTTATCTGAAATATACGGTAGCTTTTTCTTTGAATGATAGGAAATGGAATAACTCTTTGTCGTCATCTTGTTCTAGCAATTATCAACTAAGAGAAAACTAGTTGTTATGCTGCCGCCAGCAGACGGCAATGCCCTCAGTGCTCAGAGGGTTAAAAGGTATTATAATTTGAACAGTAGTCTCAGGGCCTACAGCTGGCTAATAACAGAGTTGTATTGAGTGCAAGTAAGCCCCACAGCTGTGACTTTCGCCACAAGGCTCAGACTAGACAGGAGCTCTAATCAGCTGGGCCAGGCGGCCACTGGGGCCTGTGTCTTTATCGTCCAGATGGTGTGAATTTAGACACTTTTGTTATGCAATTGCAGGGAGGAGTTGGGGAGAAGAAAACAAAACAAAGGCCACCATGCTGTGAGCTTATTTGAGTTTGAAATTAGAGACAGATTTTTGTTTTTTGCCTTTTTTTTTTAAAAGTTGAGGGCTGAATTTTAAGTCCATTT